GTAGTCATTGGTCTAAAACTCCTCAGTCTCTGGGTCTGGCTTAAAAAACAAAAAGAAATTGAGCCCTATATTTCAGTTTAAGTATTTTTGAAAGCTTTAAAGCTAATGAGTTGACCTATTTTTAAATTACAAAGCATGGAAAAATAGTGGGTGTATTCTTTTTCATGCTGAAGTGAGCTATTGTTTCTCTGCTCATAATTAAAAACTCACTTTTGAGAAACTCAGATTGGTCCTAGGCATTRCAAGAAAATCTGCAAGCAAAACTGTCAGCATGAAAATTCCTCAAAGCTGAGTTTACAGGGGGATTCATTCAGGATCTGTAATCTTGTCCTGTRAATGTCATTAGAGGAGTTTGTCCCACCATCCTGTGGATGGAGCTGGTCCCAGCTGGGTGGGCTGRGGAGCAGTTGAGGTGAGCACCACACACCCCAGAGATGTGCTGCTGCACCGTGTGATGCTCTCGAGAAGTTACACTGAAATACAGGACTGAAAACAGCTCTGAGCAAGAGAGCCTCAAAGGGAGGACACAAAAAAACTTAAAAAGTTTTTAAGGAGAAAAAAGGGAAAGGTTTGGTCAGAACTGYAGGAGTATTTAGGAGCTTATCTCCWATTGATTTRCARTGGGAGGTATACGTCTGGATATTTGTGGGCCTGRACATTTGTGATGGACTTTGAATGCCTGTGGTTTTAAATTCAATGATAGGATGTTGGGTAGAGTCTCACTGAAGCTCTAGAAAGCTGGGAAATTCGCAGCTGAGGTAGCAGCATGGGCCATGGTTGTGTTCTGCCATCCTGASCTCTCCTGTGGGTTCAGCTCTTGTTATCCTTGCAGGCACCCTGGCTGGCCCAGCTCAACCTCATGTGTGTTTTATGGCTGCCAGATGCCAGCACTGTGCATCTTGCTTTCACATCAGAATCACAGATTTCATCTCTGTCCCTCCACCCTCTGCTCCTGTGCAGCTCCCAGATGTGCAAAAGAGCTCCCTTTGTACTCTGGGCACGTTGTCCCTGTGGAGGCCATGTACCTGAAGATAGATCCTGGAAACCATGGATCCTGGAGGCCATGTACCTGAAGATAGATCAGATGGCTTTAGAAACACACCTGTTCTCTCTGTGAGCAAATTCCAACCTCCTCAGTGCCACATACCTCAAAATGTGCCTGTGGTCCGTGTTCCCTGGATCTGCATTTTATACACAGTTTGTCAAAGCTCCAGTGCTCTCAGAAGGGAGGGTGATCTGACTTAGGTATTTATGAGTGGTTTGAGTTGGGGGTGGAGAGGGAGCTGGACACTGGGAGATGTAGGTTAGGGCCAGCCTGAAGTTACAGCCCTTCATGTGTCCTTTTGGGCCTTTGTATGGCATTTTCTGCCTCTAATTTAATTAACTCTGCTGTTTGCTAACCTTGTGTATTGAGCTGATCTTCACCTTTGAGTTCAGCAATAGAGGAGACATCTGAATTTACACTGCTCTGTGAAACCTATTTATTGAGGAATCTCCTATAATTTTCCTGCATTGGTGCCTGAGGCTTCTCATCTTGCCATAAGTTTCTTGTTTATTATCAGAATTACCATAGTTTTCTCTTCAACTGGAGAAAACAACTCCAAAGGAAACCATATTTGGTGTTTATATCCAGTTCCCTACCTATCTGCCTTTTATGGACAGTTTCAAGATAATTAGATGAAAATCAYTTTCTTTGAAAAGTAATTTTACTCCTAAATATCAAAGCCATAGTCTGAAACTCGTGAGCGTTTTCTTTTGTAAGTGATTAAACCCACATCTGTTCGCTGGGTAGAACAGAGGAAGAGCCACGCTTTTCTCTCTTGGTATGTAAGACAACAAAAGACCAAATGTTCTCCTTTGGTTCACTTTCATGACTGTGCCATAGCAGACAGAAATGTCTGGCTGCATCCASAGTGCTGCTTTGGACACTGGGTGTCCTTTGATTACAGGCCCAGCACTTAGCAGACACTTGGACTGGGGGAAAAAGGAAAATCTGGTGAAGGACTGTGTTAGTACATTACATTGTTTTAAACAAGAAAGCCCAAATCAGAATTATGTGCCAATTCTTTATAAGATCCCACTCATTTGGCAAARGAATTGCATTAATTACATCTTGGTTTTGGTACTGTGTCATTACAGAAGAGAGAGCACACGCTGCACTTGTGAATGAAATAATCCACTCACATCTTTGAAGCCTTTGCTGTATTTTTCCCCTTTCCTGTGAAAATAATGGTGATCTGAAGAAGACTTTCCCTGGATGAGAAATACGCTTTGCAAATGTGCAGTAGTGATCAGAAAGGAGCTTGAGTAAAACAGACTTCTAAAATCTAGTAAATCAATCTGATAGAAACGTGATCAAAAAGGAGTCATACTTTTTTAAAGCTTTTCCCAGAAGTATTGCCTTAGCCATAGTTTCACCTGGGTTGGTGTTACAGTCACTCAYGGTTACTGTGCACATCTCCCCTGTGAGATGATTTTAGAAGATGGACAGATTTCACTTACAGAAGATGCAGTTGCTGGCTGGGTTTGCATCCTCTTTAAGGCTGTGATCTCTGAGATGTTGCAGGTTCTTCCTTGTGAAGTGATCTGGAGTCCCTAATCATGAAACACTGATGTCCAAGGAAAATCACTCCTGTCAAGAGAATAGAGCATAAAGAATGTTCCCAGTACAATGCAGGAAAATGCTGTAAGATGGACACTTCTCTTTCAGTAACTCTGAACTAGCCCCTCTACCTCAAGACTATTCATTCCAAAATTTAAAGAATTTCAGCTCCCAAAAATATTTATAACCTGTATGATTCACAAAAACCTTCCTTCATGTGTTGCTCTTTTCAAAGACTATCAAAAATAACATGTTAAATGTCGGGGGGTTTATGCCAAGAAATAGCAGGGGTTTTAATCAAATTTTTAATTACATTACACTAAAAAAGAGGATTTTTCCCAGAGCAATTTAGCAAGAGGGAGAAAATGGAAACACTGAGCATGACCTTCCATCCCAGTGATCTGGGGGTGACATTGGCTGAGATCTRTTCTTGCTCACTTTCCCTGCCATGGTCTTGCTGTAGTCGAATACTTTGTCATTGCTAACAAGYAGAAAACTCCTGAGGTCACTGAACAGTTTGGGAGGGGTTTGGGTAATGGCAGGAASATTTATGAATCCAACTTCAGAACAAAGTATTCCTCAAGGTTACCTGAAACAAACATGGGTCCTATTTGAGCAGACTTTGGATGCATTGAYTCTAACAATTTCTTCCATCTGAAGTGCTATTTCTGACCCCAAGATCCTCAGAAAGGAGAGATAAAAAAAAAAGAAGGGAATTACTTTGCAGCAYTCCAGCATGGGAGCAGGAAAAGTGTTGTTTTGATTGTCTCCAAAAGAGAGGCAGTGCTGTAATTCTGTTTCGTTTTTGTCCGCAGACCTTGAAAAGATTTTTCCTAGAAATGTGTAATGGGACTGTCAGAAAACAGACCCCTCCCCTTCCCAGTAGTTTCCTGCTGAAGTCATTTAAGGCCTCTCACAGCTTTCATCTGTGGAGGCACTGAGSGCTCGTGGGCCAAGATTTTTATTTTTTTTAAGGGAATACCAGCAAAACTGAAGCACTTTCTAAAAAGTCATTAGGAACTAAAGTTGGAAGTTTCTCTGCATGTGAAGCTGGCTCTCYGCTTAATCAGTTTCTCATTTCCGTTCTGTTTCCGTCAGTCCCAGCGAATGGCTGTAGGTGTTTTTCTTGTTTTAGGTATTGCTAAAAGCATGTATGTGAGCTGCCCAAAGGGGCGGGGAGGGAAGCTGCTCCTTACTTCACTTCTGGGACTGTGTGTTCAGGACTTTACACAGGAGCTGACTCGGAAAGACTCGTGAATTCCATTTACTGTGCACTCAGACCTGATGATGGCAGTAGGCTGAGCACACAAACCTGCTCTGCAGGCAGCAGCCCTCATGCAGTAGCTATTCAGAAAAAAAARGCCTTTGTGGAACTGGCAGATAGCCTGCATTTGCAAAGATGGGAATTTTTGTTGGTTAGATGTACTATGTTTAACACAATGATCAAGGCAATGGGCTCTTGGAAGAAACCATTACTACTCTGAATAAATGGATGCTACTCAGCAGGCATTTTCTGGTTGGACTGAATTCAAGCCTCCCATTCTGAAATGGATAGCTTTTTTGGATCGCATTCACTTGTCTCTCAGACAAATCTGTAGTGTGGATTTGTTCCTTAGATGAATGATACACATTTCATCCGGTTTCTTTCAAGTCGAACTCAGCCTGGCACAAGAATGATAAATGTTTTTTTCTTTCTCCTTCTGTTTAGAAGACCATGTTGTATTGTGAAGGATGAACTTGATTCCCAAGAGAGATGAAGTGCATTCAGAGGTGGATTTACTGGTACATGTTTGAAATGCTACAGCAGTGCATTCAGACAGACATTCACTGGGGTAGTCCTGAGCCTCAGTCACACTGCAGGTACCAGCTCTTTTGGAAAGCTTTAAATGGAATTTWTATGTCCTTAAAGCCTAGAGGAGTCTTCTCTCTAGGGAGTGAATTTTCCTATTTTGTTTCACTGTTAGTCTTTGGGGGTAGTACAGTATACAAGTATAATACACAAGYATTTCAGCCTTGGAGCATGAAGAGCTTCCTGATGTTAGCTGGTTATTATAAATTACATATGCATTTAAGAGAAAAAAATGACAGTATTTAAGTAGGCCACCAGCATATTGTRAATGCAATCCACTGCATTCATATGACATTTAAAGTGTGTATTTGCATTTGGTATGAAACTGTGCATACCKAATGTGTAATTTTTGGGGCTTTCCTTGATCCAGTGGATAAGAAAGCTCAGTGAGTTGGGTACAGCCTAAAGGACAAATTTACTGCTTTGAATTAAACTCCCAGTCAGGTCTCAGGATCACATTTGGGATTGATGAASATACTGGTACACTTGGAGAAAAGCTGAGTTCACTCCCAGCATCTGACCCTTACCCTGCAGTGCTGGCAAGCTSTGAGCATTACCTGTCCCTGTCACCTCTGCACATCCATCTGCCCTTGTGATGAAACCATTTGTTTGAGGCTRCACAGAAAAGATGTTCCGTGGCCTTTCTGATAAGGCCTGACGTGAGGGCACAGCACTTTTAGCCAGTCTGGATTCAGGCTGTCTGCAAAGACCACATGGAAAGGAGAAGTTAGGCTGTGGCTCAAGATCTGTTTCTAGGAATAACCTCTCAGGTACAATTTAAGCAAACTTGCTTAATTTGCTATGGCCCTATTTGTGCTGAMAACTTACCCAGCCTTTCCCAAACCTTTAGATTCTTACCTGCTTGCTAAGGTATTTTTATTTGTCTGTCTTATTAGTGGAATTTTTCTTGTTGCTTAACTACAGTGTTGGCAAAAGTTCTTGTCATACTGAAAACAAGATTTGAACAGAATCCAAAAACTGTGGAGTCGGTGCAGCTGTATGGTGGGGAGGAGCTGGCACATGCTTTCTAAAATTTGAAACTATTAACCATATATTCAAGGAAACGGCCTCAGAAGTGTCTTTATTTCTGGYGGTAACTGATAATTTTCACCAAGTGCAGCTTTGATTCTTATTATAATTTACGCTGACAAGAAGCTAAGAGTAGCCAACCCTACTTTTGTGAGCTAGCAATGGTAATTAGAGATGCCTGCTCTATGTTACATGATGTGTACATACACTGGGATAGGCTGATAACAGCAAACTTGTCATTCAGAAGCCATTGTGCCAAATGTCTGTCTGCTCTTTGGCCCCTTGTAACGAATGGTGCCAGGCACCACAAGTCACCGGGGGTGACCTAATGGCCAGTCACCACTGGTCACCACCTTGGTCTCAGGRCAGCAGCATTTTTATACAGAATTCCTTTCTGTGTGTGAAAGCCATTCTAACATCAGCAGAACAGCTGGCTCAGTAACTGAGGCATGCAGTTTACAGGGGTGACAAAAAACTGAAGAAGCAGTGTAAGCCTTCCTTCAGAAGAATGGAACAGTCAGAGTTGCTGGCAGAAAGTGATAAGAGTGTCAGTGGCTGCTTAGGCTGGGGAAGGATCGGGTGTGTTCAGTGAGGGGGATAGTGTTTGTTTAGGTTTTTCCTCCTGGGACCAGTTTAGTATTTCAAGCACGTTTGGGAACTTTTTCTTCCCCCAATGGTCTAAGATGTGAACTGGACAGTGTGTACARATCTGAGAGAATAAGACCTAGCAATGCTTCAGAAAAAGCAGTTKCATATCCTATAATGACAGCTTTGTTTCTGGGTGCCTGTGTAGACTCARTTTTTGTTTGCTGACTTTTCGTTCAGCTTAAAATACACAAGAAGATGCCTGTTTGAAGCTGAAAAAAACTAAAGATAGAGAAAACTGTAGAGTAAAATGGAGCTGAAACCAGCCCTATCTGGGGTGTCCCTATGTGCCCTATAGGGGAGGGAACAGCTGGGGTCTGCTACTGACACCATTATGAAACTCACACTATTTTCCACTGGACTGTATRTAGAGTGTGTGGGCCCTGTCCAGCAAAATAGAGAGCTGATACTTGTCTCCTTTTTACTCACTCTCCATGGGAAGGTTATTTAGAGCAGCACTGTCTGATTCACCTTGTCACAAGCCCATTTAAAAGGCATTTGTTTTATGTAACCTGCTCCAGGATGAGGAGCAGACACAAAGGGACACACTTGTACAARTTGCTGTTCAGAGATCTTGAAACATAAAAACACATAGCTCTGAAGGAAAAGGCCAAGACCCTGAAAGTAAYTGGCCAGGGTAATGGAAATTGTTAAAAGAATGATTGGGAGCAGCTACAGCCATTGCCAAAATCATTACATTCATCAAGCTGAGAAATGAGCCTGGTGGTAGCAGAACACCCAGATGGCCAAGGAATGACACTTATTGGTAATCCATGCATTTGCTGCTTGGAATCTTGTCCACCCACCAACTCAAGGGGGAGACTCCAGAGGGGCTCCCAGAATCACAGGCACTGAGCTGCTCTCAGTCTCTGGGAAGGACTGGGGCTCCTCAGCAGTCAGATCCCGAAGAGCAAACCCCAAATCCATAACTTGGCTTGTATGGACACCCTCCAGATCCTGTGCTCCAGATCCTGGGCTCAGTGCTGGCTGTGCATGCCAGCCATTAGGGACCCCAGGAGATCCCTGAAAACTGATGTACAGGCTTGTGGAGCTCTCCTTGCAACACGACTTTTCCCAGCAGAATGTTATTGCTGTAACATGGAAGGGAGCTTTGCTCTGCACATGCCAAGTACCTTTATCTCTCAAGTGGYCTAACTAACTTAATTAGATTAAACTAAGAGGAATTGGGCCTAATCTTGTCTCTGTCTTAGATTCTGCCACTCCTTTTCAGACCCAGAGAAAGGACTTTGAGCCCAAAAGCCTATCTGTTTTTTTTCCAATTATATTAATTGGCCTAAAAAAAAGATTTTTTGGTGTATATTCTTTTTCTACAAACTCTGTTTCTCTCTTGCTACAATACAATTGTTAATTCCATCCTGGAATGATTGGCATGTATGTAAATTGGAATAAAAGGATCTGATCTGTATTGTTAACTAAGTTGGAAAAAAAAGCCCAAAAAGCAAGGCTGTGCATTAGTGTAAGAAAGCTGTCATTAAACAGGCAGTGTTTTTAATACAGATAAAAGTCAAATGTTATGGTTATCATAATAGTAAATTTCTCTCCCCACAATTCACGTGTCCTCTTAATTAAGAGAAATCTTTCCCCAWAAAGCATCTACTTTATTTTTAGACAATCCTGTGGCCATTTCATATCTAGCTCATTTTAAAAGCTACTAGCAAGGTGGAGCCAACAGACAGTGACATCACAACAAACCCCACTCTTTCTTCCTTTTTTGTAACCTTTTTCTATTATACTAATATTACATCATTATATCTTTTTCACACTGACCAGGATCCTCATCAACAACTGCAAAGACCTGATGTGGTAACAATAAATACTAGAATGGTTGGAACTACCCTAGATGTCCTCTTGCAATACATCAGCACTATAAAATGAGGTGTGTTTCTTAGAAAAGTAAAGGTGCCAGGGACAGGGATATCTCTCTTCTCCTATTTAAGTAAACATTTAAAAGACAAAAAACCTCCTCTCCAGTATGGAATTGAAATGAGCTACAGAATGATTCCCAGCAAATAAATAAACGCTTTTCAGTTGCAATCATTCCCTATTGAGTTGAAGTGGTATTATGCTGTTTTAATCTCATCAGTTCCAGAAAGCACGCACAAATGAAAAGAAGTGATTTTAACATTGTGGGAGGGGGAATTGCAGYTTATGTAGAGCATCCAGCCAGAGGAAGAGGAATAATTTTACAATGACTGACCTCAATTCTATACCAGTGTACAAATTCCACTACAATTAATTTCATTTTCACTTCTYCACTTCACTCCTGAAAAATTAACCCTGTATGGTAACCCTTCATGCATGTAAACTATCTGCAGTTTCCACACTTTTTGTAACAGAAGAATTTAAAACATTTATAACATTTATATCAGTTTCATCTGATTGCCACTCCTACCCACCTTCACAGKGAAATTCAGCTTCTGCTGCCATGTGCAACAACCATCATCCCTAAAGGATATCAATGAACTCAGGCAGCAAACCTTTTGAAATGGTCCTTTTGGGCACAATGCACACACAGGAACACTCCCTGCCTAACGCTGAAACACAAGCACCTCTTTGGTGAGCAGCATRAGTAACACGACAGCTTGTAGCAACACTAAATAATCATCTACTTAGCCTAGAGCAAAACTTGAAGCAGTGGGAATGTACAGCATTTCAATCAGCATTTGTTAGGGAAACATTTCYCTTGTGACACAGAAACCTGATCGACTGCAAGGACACAAAACTTCAACAGTGCAGTACTTAAAGCTGGTAAATTCAACAAAATTAACACTTATATCTTAYTGATAGTACCTGTGCACTTTTGGAATGATTTCTTCTTACAAACACCAGACTTCTTTGGGAAACTTTTTCATTTGTACAACAGGAAGTTCCAGTCCTGCAAAAATATAATATTGTAATGAGATCATAGTCAGAGATGGTGCAACAGTCGTGACACTGATTTGTCACATAGAGCTAAATGTTCTGCTTGAATGAATCTCTCCCTCTTTAGGCTCAGCTCTGTACTGCAAACACTTGGCTCGAGGACTGAATTTGTTCTTTGCTTTAGTACTTCAATGCTCCTGAAGAGCTGAGGTGTGATGCTCCTGTTCATGTGGAATAGCATCTAATTTCCCAAGGTGTTTATTGATTTGAACAGGATCATTTGGTATTAGATGTATCATGCAGATGTTACAGTTAGCATTTCTGAGGTTTGGCTGTGCTGAAAAACAACTCTGCCAAGGACTTTGCTCATTAAAACAGCAGTGAAAAGCAAATCCTGGTGACACCTGAATGAATTTAAATTAGGTTTTTCAGTATGCTTAAATAACAACCAAAAAATATGTAGGTGATTTTCCTRTGCTCTTGGTATTAATACAAAGGTGTATTTCTAGCATTATTTAAAGTTCAATTTTTCATTGGTTTTGGAATCATGGAAAGTCCTYAATACGACAAACAAACAAAAAAATCTCTATTTTCCCAGTGGTGCTCATTACTGATGCAGACTGTCAAATTGCCACTACACTGCAGAAAAGTACACAAATCAAAAGCCTTCATACACTGGAAATTTTAACAATTTGGCAAGCAGAATATACAATTCATATAGTTAAGAACAGAGAGTAGGCACCAAAAGAATGGAAATATCATGTTGGTTTGAAGGTTTGTTATTACAAGAAAATTGTCTTGAAATATTATCCATAGATACTGCCAGATTATCTGAATTCAGTCCCACCACCATAGCTGCCTTCAGCTTGGAAAAAATACATGCTAAGCCATTGTAATKAACTGAAAATTTTCAGTTGTTTGAAAACTGCACAGAAGTAGTTGCAGCTCTAAAATTTCAGATCAAACTGTTCAATTCTGTAACAARAGTAAAAATTAGCAATGTTGCAAAGTCCAAACAGTTCCATTTTGATAGTAGCCAACTGCTCACTAGTGAATATGCTCCACCTCTCTAGGAAGCAGCAGATGAATTCTTGCAATTCTCTTTGTAACTGTGATCCAAGCCCTTCTGAAGCCAGTGGAATGATTTATATTAAACCAGCTTATTAGAGCTTCATTTTACATGTTTGTCTCACAGAGATGAGTGCTTATTTCATCTGTTATTTCAGGGCTTCCAAACTCAACTCTACAGTTTGTCAAGAGCTGGTTTTTCTCTTGAAACGGAGATAGTATATTAAAGAGAGCACTACTGGGTAGCAACAGACATTTGTTACTGCTCCATGGCAAGATACCAAATTGTATCAATGCTAAGAATATAATTTCAATATATTTTGAGATAAAAACGTCATACTGACCACACAAAATGTCCTTAGGTGACACCCATAAYGAAGAAGTAACTTTTGATAGGCAATTCTTGCTCTTGCAGGTGTACTCTCACAAGGCTGGGAAAGTCTTTATTTTTGGGGGTTTCCATGGTAATGTTGGCAGTCCTAAATGGAAACAAAAATATTTAAAAGGAGATGTTAAAAAAAAACATGATTCCAATGTGACTGAAGTTTGTGTTTTTCCAAGAGTAGGAAGGAGAAATGTTGTATATGGGTTTGAAAATTCTACATACATTAAATCCAAAAACAAATCCAGGCACATTTTTTATGAACTCTTGTGGGTTTGGCATCTTAGAAGACTCTTTAGAGGTGGCTTTTTAARATTTGTCAAAAACAAAGTGACTCTTTCCATGGTTTTCCTGAACCAGGCAGCCATTTTCTACAACCTGAATTCCCATACAACCAAAATAATCTTTGCAAGGGTGAAAATGGTTGCTGCCAAAAGCACRTAACACAAAAAAAATCAAGCAGATTTCATTGATTTTTAGAAATAGMCTTTAAGCACTTTGAATGCTTGAAGTGAAACTTAGGCTGCCATCTTAAAAAGAAGAGTCTGYGACAGTGGGGAGATTTTTAGATGCAGTTTTTGGTGGTGACAGTGACAGGACAGAGCTCAGTGAGTGCACTCTGCCATGTCCTGTGATGTTCTAGGAGGCTCAGTGGCCTCTGGAGCTGTGACAGTTCTGCACTRTCCCCTCAAGAGCAGAGCCACAGTGACACACAATAGTGCACATGGCAGTCCTGGCACGATATTAGTGAGCCTGTGAGGGTGGCACAGGTTCCCAGAGAGCTCAGAAAAGACAACAGAAGCCTCCTCCTCCCCTCTGCCAGGCTGGGAAGGCAGCCCAAGGCAGGAACATGTCGTGTGAGCCTTTCCCTTCACCGGTTCAGCTGGCTCAGGCAGTGCAGGGACCTGTGGCACTGCTATTTATACACCCTGGTTGAAAAAGAGCACATGAAAGTGCCTCTSTTTTAAGGTCCTAGTTGTAAAAAAAACCCAAAACAATTCCACATTGCGAAAATTTCCAAAAATTGCTTTCCTCAGGGTAGAAGCCGGATATATATTTGTTGAATCAGGCTCTTAATTAGGTAGGACACAAAGGGCTTTTTCCCCCTGTGATACTTCCTGCCCAACAACAGTGTTCCCCCTGCTAACTCTGTGAACATTCCATGTGGGACATTTTTAAAAATTATTATTTATTTCCACTGCAGCAACATCTGAGCCCCTTTCTTCCCCCTTCCCCCACCCCCATTTTAATTTCAGGGGTTTTTTTTCAGGCCAAATTTCTTCCCACTTACTTGGTCTGGTCTTTTCATTAAAATAAGTCCTTCCAATGACCCCCAATCATTTGCCCTTCCTGTCCATTCTTGGTTATGCCAAAACTGTTAGTTCACAACAGGAAACCAATAGCTTGTGCTATCGGGAGACATTTCCTTCGCAGCACAAAACGTCTGAATAATAATTTCAAGCAAGGCTTCACCCATTTCCTGTGAATGGAGGGAAGTTTGCCTATCCCAGCCCCTCAGAGCTCTTTGTTTCCATCCCTTCGTGAYGTAATGCTTTTACATAGGGAGGATGGATCATTTTCCCTTACCAGCTTTCACTGAATTCAATGTCCTGTGTAAAGTTTTGATACTGCTCTTCAGCAATAAAACATCTAACGTTTACTAAGAACAAAAAGTTATGCTCTAGTTTATACTTATGGAGTCTCTTTCAAAAAATAAACTCAACTTTTGGTGTCTGGAAAATAGCTATAATGAAAACACGGAGGCTAAATACAGTCTGGTTTATAAAATGTTTCATTTGCAGGCTATTTAGCACAACTCCAGCTACCAACTGGTCTTTCACAGATCAGAAAAGTGTTTCTGAAGGAAAAAAAAAATCTGTAAGATATTATTCAGTCCTTTTTCCAACTGTTTAACCTTAAACGGGAACATCTTGTTGAAAACCTCCTCTGAAGGTGACACCTCAAGACCATTGCTGCATTTTGCTCTTCTCTCTTTCCCTTCCCAATTTTGAATCCCCTTTTATCTGGGCATTTAATTATGACTAAGTTACATTTAAATGTGTATCAAAACCTCAAGTGGTTGTTCATTCAGAAGTTTGCAAGGCCAAGGCTGGAAACCCTTTCTTTGTTCTGGCCAYCTGCCCCCAAAGCAGAATAGCAGGTGAGATGGGAAAAAACAAACATTGCAAACAGCAATGCCCAAAGACACCAGCTCCTGTAAGGCTGGACATGCTCACCATGTCTGACTGTGCYTAATGGCAAGAAAAACTAATGGCAGTGTTATTCTGTTTGCTGGCTATTTGAAAAATACAAATGCCAGGGTATAACCATGCATACTTAAATCTGACAAAAATCAGGCCACTCATGAGAGAAAGCTTCCTGTCAATGCCATGCTTTAATATTACGAAAGGATCTTTTATARCAACTGTGGGAACACAATGTCCTTTTCAGCTTGTAAAACTACATTTGCAAAGCACTCTGAAAAGGTCTGTGGGTAATACCACAAACTGTCAAGAAATGACATCTAAGTCCCTTTCTTCCTTTTATTAACTTGTATAATACTGTATGTACTCAAGCAAACTTCTCTAAAAATCCTACATGAATGGGAGTTTGTGCAGAGTATTTCTGTTTTGCTACGGAATAGATCACAGAACTCTGTCCATCTGTCAAAACACATGAGAAAAATATGCTTCATCCTAATTGTCTAGTTGATGAGCTGAGACTTGGAAAAACGAGGGGATGTGATAGAGGCTGCAGAGAGAAAGAAGCTGCAAATGTAGCACAGTCTGTAAGCCATTACAGGGGTACTGGAATGCACACAATGCTGGTGTGCAGAAGGTTCTAGAGTTCCCCATGTAACACGTATCAAAATTGTCAGAGATGTGTGGTGCCCTCACTGCAGCAGCAATGCTCTGTCTGATGTGGCTGCAGGGGAARGGAGCAGAGCTGTGCACAGCAACCCCAATAGATGAGGCAATGGCAGGAGCTGGCAATGACCAGATGTCCCTGCTAAACTCACAGAGGTACTAAAGCAGCTAATAGCTGACATTTTTAACACTGGAATTTTCAGGCAAGTAAAACCATAATTTTATCAGAATAGTGATATCAACATTGTATCATATAAAACTCTTGGCTTAAAGTCCTGGTAGACAACAGAGCAGTCCTGGAAACCAGATACCTTTAAAATCCGTGTCCTTTAAATAGGTTAAGTCCCTCTAACACCTTTCATGCCAACTTTTCTTCTGCTTAGCACTCAGGCTCTCATTATGTTTGACATTTTATTTCCACTATTGAGTTGTCCTTTCCTTGTTTTTGCTCACTTACAGGGCATACTGGCCAGCCTACAAAAAAGTAATTTGACTGTTTTAAACTAGACTAATATATTTTGACTGCATCCTCTCTGACACAGAGGACTGTAATGCAGCCAGCTGTTCATTGTTTCTATGTTAAATAAAGTAGAACTCCCTTGTGGCATTCCATATGCTAACAAATGATGTAATGAAATTCTGGTCATGTGAAAATTCTATCATTATACCACCCAGCATCCCCCTTGAGCACTCAGAGGCTAACAGACTTGCCTGAAAAGCCCCGTTAACACATTCTCCTTACAATACAGAACTGCAATTATTTTAATCTGACGTGCTGCTTCTTTTCTCTGTGCAACATGCCCCAGTAGCACAAGAACACTTTTCTCTGTACGGGTGAGAAGGTGCACAAGACAAAGACAGAAAACTTTGTTGCCATGATGTTATGCATCTGTACRCACAGTATCTGAAGAGCTGATTCCAAGAAATGTGTTCTACAAGTGGCAGATGCTACTGTTCAGGTGGGCAAAGAGAGAGAAGGAGACAAAGCCATGCAGAGAGATGGAAGGTGCATCCTCTAGGAGACCTTGGTGAAGTCAATTTAACAARCTTGTCCTTCTTTCCTCTTTCCCTGCCTCCCTCTCTCCCTCCCTTCCTCAATAAATGTTGTACCGTGTCAGTGATCCTGTTTCTAACACAAGCCCACACACAGTTGTAGGATCACAGCTAAAGAAATGAAGAAAYGCCGAGTGGGAGTGAGACCAAATGCCAACTGTTAAAGTTTTACATCAACACTTAYACCAGCTTTCACAGAGCTGTGCCTGAAAGTGTGAAAAAGAAGYAGGGAGAAGAATGAAGGAAAATAAGTAGATGAGCTTTACCTTAGAAAACACGCTACAAAAAGAAATTTTAAACTTAGGTGATTTAGGGACACCTCTATGACTTACTCACATGAACCAGGGTGGCAAGAGGTACAGCTCAAATGGGCTGGAGGAAGCTGAGGAACAGGAAAAGATATAAAAGCAAGCACTATCTTTAGACCAAGGGAATTTTTAGACAAGAGAAGCCAAATAATAGCAAACTAAATTCAAACTTTTAGCAGTTGCAGAGGGGTGCCCAGCTCTTCAAAGTAAAATTGAGGGGTACCATCCAGCCAGTCACGTACTGCAGAGGAGACCTGKCTGTGGAACTGAGTTCCTTAGGACAGCAAATCAGCAATGGAAATTGGGCACTGCAATACAGCTCTGAGTTCCCTGCAGATGTGAAAATCAATAGTCCTGTGAAGTTTGTACCTCTGTTGATTTGAAACATGTATTTCCTGCCTTTAATACACACTTTGGTGGGCAGCAGATGCTGTCTGGAAARCAGTGAGGTGGAAAGGAGAAGGTTCTGGGCTTCTGTTAAGCAGAGGGGCTGCCAGGGCAATTCTGCATCATTCTGGGTTTTTTGCTCCATCAGAATAGGATCTCTAGAGCAAGAACATGAGTATTGCATCATACCTGACTGTTGGATGTCAGTCTCTTTTATCAAAAACGGAGATAYTGGGAGATCTCCAACTCTTCCATTGCATGACCACAGATCAGCACTGTAGCAGCAGGGAGGGCTGATCTCTCTGGTGGGAAGGATGTGAGTTTGTCTCCTGTCAAAATGAAAGGCAACAATAAGATGAAGCACYCGCAGAAACCAGAGAATTTGAAATGAGAAGAAATCCTAACTATTTATGAGGACAGCAAAGCTGTGTGCCCCACAGGGCAGAACTGTCTGAGAGTTACCTCCTTTTTCCTGCACAAGACTGTACTGCCCAGAGCATGGGCACACTGAGGAACCAGCATATGACAGCCTTGTGCAAAGCCCCAGTGCCAGATGCACTGCTTTGGAAACCTGTGTGTAGCCAGAACAGGTATCTCTACTGTGCAGTGCAGACATAGCCCAAGAGCCTCTCCAAACAGGTTAAAGCAGCCTGAATGCATTTCTGGCAGCACTGGGATATGTTCCTTTCCATGATTCACAGAGGACAGGCAGAAACAATAAGTCAGCAAACACCAGTCCCACGTAAACTTGGCTGATTGAGGTTTTCAGAGGAGGGATAAACTCATCTGAGCTTGAGCCTGCCTATGCTGCAGTTTTGTCTGGGTGCTTATCTGTTCTTTCCTTGAGAATTCACTGCAAAAATGTCAGTGGGCTCACTAGCAAGGATGGGGAGGAGGAAAAACACCATATGGCATTTCCCAAATGTGATCACATGCCTTTCACATGTTTACATTTCTTGACCACGGTCTCAGCCCAGCCTCAAGCTAACCTTGAACCTCACAAACTAAATACAGCCCTGCTAGTGCAGCTGGAACAGGTGAGAGAGCCAGATAACACTGGAAGAGCTTAATCCAGAGTCTTAAAAGAAAGAAAAATTTACTGCCCAAAATCTGTGCTGCTAGAGCTATCCCTTTTGCTACACTGACAACTTTTTATTCTGGAAATAGCAGTGAAGTATGTTCACCACCACACATCATGGATCTGAATGAAAAATCTCACAGTTTTATTGCCTAAATAGTGAACAGGATAAGGACACCTTAAGGACATAGACAGACTGCTGACTCACCCAGCCTTGCTTCCAGCTGAGCAATAGCCTTGGGGAGCTGTGGAGCAGAAAAGCCATTATATTATACAGATCTGCTCCTACTCCATATTCTGCCTGAAGAAAATAAAGAGATGTTCCCTTGCTGTACCCTGGATGGTGCCTGTGAGCAATCTGAAGCTGTCCAACCCCCAGAGAGCCCGGTGCACAGCAGAGCTCCCAGGAGGGCTGCTGACCCAATTGCAGCACCTGGGGGAATATTGTGTGAAAGTTCCCACGAGGAGAAATGACTGTGAAGCTGTGGGCTGGGATCCAGGATCCGAGCCTTCMTGATGCACTTCTATTTCTGCAACATAATTAGCGATGTAAATGAACTGGCACTGAAACACCAATTAAAGAATTCTTAATTCTTAACATGGCCTCAGACTCTTGAATCATAAAATACATGTTATATATATTTATTTTCTTTTTAAATTCACTTCTTTTTAAAACAAGCAGAACTGCCATCCCCTCTCCCCCTGGAAGACAGATAGCATTTTGTGAAGTATTTTGGCAGAAGACACGGATTATTGTRTTTATTGGTGACATCATACTGAATTAAAGTAAAACGGGAAAAAACAAAGCTATTACAAAGAGGTCAATTCCAGCCATTTGTCTGGGGTAAGGTTCAGGTTTGAAGTAATTTTTCAAAGGAGATTTTACAGTTCCAATTTCTAATGAGGTTAATTTGAAACTGAATATGCKAATCATCAGTTTGATACCCTTGACACTGCAAATGTATTGCTTCCCTTGGTGTGATAATGTTACTTATCATCTTTCTTTTGCTACTCTGTCAAAAGAATAATTTCAATTTCAGTCAGAGGCTCTGACTTTCATATTCATGGAAGATTGTGCTGTTCCATTATCTTGACTGGAAAAAAACATCTCTGGATGAATCACAACAATTGGAGTTGGTAAGGATGGAAAATAGGATGCTGCCTGCTGAACACTACCAGTTCAGGATTGCTGTGCATAGGCTGGGAGTCTTTCCAGAGAACTGAGCATGAATTCCACCCAATCTAAGTTGTTGGCCTAGGGTTTTTTTTGGGTTTTTTTTTTTATTACTTTTTTTTCCTGTGAAATTTCTGGTATCATTTATGGAACAACTTTCAGGAAATAATGAGTTTTAATATTTTCAGAATTTGCAGGTYGCATCCCCTGGCTTTGAAGTATATATAAAGTCTGTAAGGCAGAAAAAGTGAAAAAATGTTTTGCCTTCCACCTACAGGCCACCGAGTTGAATCATACTACCTTGTAAGAGTTGTTCAGCAGCATATTCAAATGATGTTTACACCTTCAATACATTTCCTAACTTAGAGCTGTTCAAAACATCCAAAATCCTCCTCTGTCCAACCCTACACAGCCCAAGTCCTCTGGCAGAGCTTAAAAAGTGACTGAACTGAGAGAGGCAGCAGCCCTAACAAAGATGTTTACTCTTCAATTAATTAATTCTGTCGTAGTGTTAATCACTGGCACATTTAACTCAGAGATTGGAAACATGCAGGAGGAGCACAACATAATAGAAAAAAAAAAGCACCAAAAAATGAGTCTATTTCAATATTAATCAGGCAGAAAATAAAAGGGAGATTTCAAATCAAAACCTGTGTGCTCTGCCCACAACTTCTACACAGTAGATATGTAGACCAATTTGGAGGCAGGATAAAGTTCCGATACAGAACTCCAAGAATTTCACTGAGAGGAAAAAACATCAAAAGTATCTCTGTTACATAGTTAAACACACTTATGAACTCTGTCTAACCAATTTCTTTTGTACATTGGCTTGAAACTACAGCTGCAAGCTGTACAAAGGAAATGACGACAGGATACAAAGGACTAGGGAATATTCAATATTTACTAAACAAAGATCTTACTTTGAGCATGTGTTCAGTCATRCCATTAGCATTTGACAGAAACAGCTCTGTGTGCTTGGACAATTCAGACAGTCACTGCTGTCATTTTGCAGTGCACATACAATAAATCACCTGGCATTAAAGGTACATGCAATAGCTGAATTTGTCCTCCCCTCTTAAAATATGAGTTCAAGCCAAAAAGGCTCTGGCAAGCCAAAAGGCATTGATAAATATCAGAACAAAACCTGAAACCCTAAAAGACCATAAACATTTTGAGAAATTAATTTCATACCTTAGCTGTTCAAATGAACTCTCTTCCAAGGAAGAATTCCCAAGTTTGGATCTGAAGACAGGTTAAAATCACACCAACTTGTTGAAAGGATTTTACAACTTCATCTGACTTCCTGGGTGATAGAGAGCAGTTCAGAACATTTTTAATCTTACCAGATGAGAGTTGTTCATTTAACACAATGTGTTATGTCTTCTCCTTGGGAACTGAAGAAAAGGGCTATTGTAAAACTTTATTATTTATGAACTGTGTTATGGTGTTTGCCAGATGACTGCAAGAGGCCCCATGTCTGATCTGGTGCACAGAGCTCAGGCACTGTAGTAACAATCTGCCACGTTTTAGGARCCTTAGTCTGAAAAGGCAGCAGAAGCAAAAGGTTGGAGATGGCCAGCAGTGATTAAATTACTTGTCCAGCTTCAGAAAGTGAGATCTGCCATAAAGCAGGAAATGAAGCTCAGATCTCCTGAGGCCCATGGTTGCACCCTTAATGTGCTGTGACCCACAGTTGATTAATGATAATTAAGATTTCAGTTTTGAGAGATCACCCATCTCCTCTGCCCTTTGCATTTTCTAGGGCCACTTAAGTGTTCACATTTTACTGGCATCTTTTTTGTAGAAATTACTTTTGAGGCCCTGATATCTAAGCATCTACAGACACCTTGGTTCACAAAAGATAATAAAAGATGAGAGAAGACTGATAATTCCCTGCCACTCATCTGCACCAGTGTAAGCAAGCAGTGGTCCCAGTTCTGATAAGACATATATGAAAAAACCTTTGATTTGTCAGCTGTAAATTCGGGGAAACTGTGATCTCTTTGCAGTGKTCCTTGACAAGAGTAAGAGCTGTAGTCCTAGAATAAATTGTTTGCTAACTCCTTCAAAGTAGACTCTGTTGAAGGGGGAAGCTCTGGTGGTCCCACATTTAGGATGGACTTGTTTCTGCTTGAAGGTTTTCTGCTCTCATTCTCAGGATCCTCTGCTATCACTGCATTTCCTGAACTTTCCCATCATTAATTTACTTTTTGTTCAGATATATCCCCACTTCTTATCTCAGGTGCTGCTTATACAGTGATTTGAGCAAACTGTTAAGCAAACTGGATCAGTGTAAAAATAGGTTTTCTTGCTTCCCAGCTGCTAACATGGGTAGCAGATTGAAGAGAACCACAGAGTCAAAAGAAGAGGGGTAAGTCAAACYTTTTGCACCTTTGGAACGCCTTTGTAATGCATCTTTTTCTCCTTTTACCTTCACAGTTCAATAGAGAACTCTGACACAGATCTTTCTTGTTCAAGTAAAGCCTCACTCCTGTCTGAGACAGCAGAAAGCTTTACACCCCTGCATTTCCCATTCATTCCAGAAACACTACAGCCTTCTCTGAGCTGACTGCAGATCTTCCTTCCTCCTCCACCCCCACCCAACTGCAAGTTACAGGAGCAAGAAGTCGTAATATTTAATTTCCCTGCTGTTTTTTAGTTTCTTATCTCTGGAAGGGRTTTGATCTTTCCTTGCTTTGGTTAGAAGATGACCCAGATGGGAAGGCACTGTTATTTTGTGCATCAGCAGCATTGCTAATTTGTTCAAGTTGACAGCCCACCCGATTCTCACCAGGGGAGACCTTATTGTAGGAGGCCCTAAGGTATAGAAAACAACAAAAATAGCTGTACAGTACATGGCTAGCAAGCCTTTCCAGAGTAATCTACCTCAGGTGTGCTTGACATTTCTGTACAAGGAGCCCAATCATTATTCCTTAGTAATTTTCTCTTTTATGATCTCATTTTTCCTTCTAACTGTGAAAAGGAAAGAGTTTTTCTCAATCCTACCAGCTTGTTCCAAAGTCAGGGGAGACTACATTCAGTATTGAACAACACAACAACATGTCAGGAAAAATAAATGAAATGGTTTTGTGGTGTC